GTCTAAGTCTTTTTCTTTTTTCTTTTTTGCATTTGTTTAAGATTTTATTATTAATTATTTTTTAAAATTTAGATTTATTTTACATGTATGAATGTTTTGCCTGCAAGTATGTATGTGCCTTATGTGTATGGTGGTCAGAGGGGACATCACATTCCCTGAACTGGAATTTCATATGATTGCAAGCCACCATGTAGGTTCCGGGAACTGAATTCAGGTCTTGTGAACCTGCTCACCATGGTGGACACTCTCATTCTAGACCTCAAGGAGGACAAAATGACCAGAGGTCAAGAGTCAGTCACAGACATGGACATCAGACAAACTGCTCAAAGGTCATCTTGTGTACTCTCCACCACCAGGCTGCAAAAGTCTTAGATCAGGAATGAAAGAACCTCTTCATTGCCAGCCAGCAGAAGGGGATTCATCTTCCACCCACAGAGCCTGTGTTCAGTTTAGAATTCAACCAAAGCCCACTCAGTGCCTACGGGCCACCAGGAGTACTGCCTATGGGACGGCCAGCCCCGCGGAGTTCTCTGCGGGACAAAGGGTACATTTTACATTCTTGATGGTAGACACCTGAAGTCTGTGTGGGGAGGGCTGGATGATGAGAGGCAGTTATTCTGAATCAATCAGTCACCACCATCATGACTAGCTAGGTCCCAAGGTGAGCTGTCCACCACCTTGAGAGGCTGAGCCCCTTCACCCCTGACTTCTGCAGGGTAGGTTACACTCACAATTTTAGGGAGAAGCCTTTCTCTAGATGTGGCTGAGTGAAGCTTGGATTTGCAGTCCAGCCTATGAAAGACGCCAGAACTGTGTGCCGAGCATTCGAGGTGTAAATCAATGAGAAAGTAATGGGAAGGGACCCAGCCCCCAGCTCATCACTCACCACTCAGATAAGGCTTTGTCTGAGACACACTGTTCCCTTGGGATCCTTATTGACTGTCCAGCAAAAGCCCCTGCTCAAGGGCACAGGCTGCTCAAAGGGGACCGAAGGTCGGTGAGGGAATCCAGATGGCCCACACAGGAAAGGGGCTGACCTCACTCTCTACTCTGCTGTGGGCAGGGCTGTGACAGATCCCCAGGTATCCTGACTTCCCATCCTGACTGTAGGGTTGATTGTCTGGGCGTCAATCAACAGGAACTATAGGGAAAGAATGGGAGTGGAGATCTGCCTGACGTGAGACTCACTCACTCGGAGAAAGAAGAGCAATACTGAGAAACAGTGTGAACCTGTATTCTGTCATTTAGTCCCATGTCCCCTACTCCCACCCCTCACCCCTGAGCTCTCACTCCTCTCTGCTGTGTCTCTGCTTGAGAGCATGGGCGCCCGCATCCAGTCTGGTGCTGTTCATCTCAAGAAAGATGCTTCCATCCCACTGGCAGGTACCCACAAGAAACTCGAGCCTCCTAGTTGGCTACAAGAGAAGCACCGCCGGCCTGTGATCAGGCACGGCTTCAGCCCTAGCCCGGGTCAGGTATGGCTTTCCAGGCTAGGACTCCATCACCCACCGGGGGAATGATGGAACTAACTGGCCATCTTTTTGCCCACCATTAGAGAGTCTTGCTTTAAAATGTGCACATTCACACAGGACCCATTCATTTTAGGATATTCATAGTTAATAGGGGCTTTGATTTCATTTAAGGCAGTTGAAGCATCTGCTTTTACTCTAATTACCTGATAATTAGGACCATGTAGGACCTGCATTTGTATCAGAGTTCCCTATCTTAATAGACCTTTTGTTAAATAGAACCAGACAGTCTCTCTCTTAGAGTTGTGCTTCCTTTCATAACCCAGGGGTGGGTAAATGCTTCACCAGTGTCTTCTGGTGAAGATGCCACCTGAATGATGGTTCCCACCAGACTGGCGATTGAAATCTGTTACCACAGTGTCACTTTGGGATCACAGTCTCCCGTTATCAGCTGATTCCAGACAATGTGCTGTGGAGACATTCCCACTCATTCGGAAAGCTGCTAGAAGGCAAACCCTGCACAGAAAATGTCAGGAGGACCTTCTGCTGCTAGAAGGCAAACCCTGCACAGAAAATGTCAGGAGGACCTTCTGCTGCTTGAGGCGCCAGCCTTGCTTTCAGGAAGTTTAAAGTTAGCACCAACATTTTCACTTTGGCCTGACAGGGTCTGAGTTCCAGTCACGCTCAATTAGCGGACACTGGGCCCAGGTATGCGGTGTTTATTCCTCAGGCCATCTCTAGGGGACACTGCAGCCCCCTCAGCAGCTCTTACCCCCCACATTCTGGCTCTTTCCTGCTTAGTGACTGGAGGGAACCACCACCCACTCAGTCACGGGCGTTGCTGGTCCGGCTTCAGCTTTGTGCTGCATTTGGACGAGACAGCAGACCAGACAGAATGTTCTAGATCTGTGTCCTGTGATCCTGGCACATTACAAGATTCTACCTTGTACAGCACTTTGGTGTTCAGCAAGCTAGTATCTGAAAATATTTTGCAGTTCTCTTGCTGTTGTAAGATGGGATTGCTTCTGGTGTAATTTCAACTACTTTTCTCTTTCAGAAATGATTTTGAAGATGATTCTTCAAAATGTGGAGCATAGAAATGCTGTGCTTTCTGTAAGGAGTTAAAAAAATTCCAGAAAAAAAAGCTCCACCTGCATTTCCCATGTCCAAATCTCATTTACTGTCTTGTGCGTTTTAAACTTTGTATCTTATTTTTTCTACTTATTTATCTACCTATACCCCCACCGAACCATGCATCCATCTACATACCCACCCACCTACCGACTAACTAACATCCATCCATCCATCCATCCGTCCATCCATTCACCCATCATCCATTTACCTATCCACGGACCCATCCATCCACATACCTACTCACAGGCCTACCCATCTGTCCATCCATCCATCCATCTATCCATCCATCCATCCATCCATCCATCCATCCATCCATCCATCCATTTATCCATTCATCCATCCATCCATCCATCCATCCATCCATCCATCCATTTATCCATCCATCCATCCATCCATCCATCTACCAAGTATCTCCCTACAATCCACCCTTCTACTCACTTCTGGACTTTCTCAGAGAATCAGGAGCGGAGTGAACCTGACTGACATTTTCAAATCTGTTTCCATACACTTCCCCTCTGAGGCAAACCTCCTGTTGGTGATGAAGAAGCAATAGGAAGTAGATCAACCAATATTGCACAAACACCATCACTATTATCTTTACCACAGGGCAGGCAATGACAAAGCTTGACCACAGCCCCACTGGCAGTGGGACAATGCCATTCCCTGCAGCTCTTCCTAGGTGATTCTTGGGCAGGTCAGTTTTATTTGTTGCATTTGATTTTTTCTATCTACCCTTTTCCTTGTTCTAAACGCAAATAAACTTATAAAGAGAACTATATTATAGGCAGGAAGTCATAATAAAAACACACTGGGTTCTCATAAGTATATTGTTATTGCAATGATTTAATGTACTTACTTCTTTACTGTGTTCACCAAGTACCAAATGATGCTACATGCTGATTGGCCTTTAACATTTCCTTTCTTAAATATTTATTTTATGTATATGAATGACCTGTCTTCACACACATGATGAGCCACCATGTTATTGCTGGAAATTGAACTCAGGACCTGTGGAAGAGCAGCCAGTGGCCCTTAACTACCGAACCATTTCTTCAGCCTCAGCCTTTAACATTTCTAAGTCTTCAATTAGCTCATAAGTTTGTATCAAACTTAAAAGCAGACCACACAAGCATCAAAGATTGGCTTCTCCCCAATATCCCACCTAATCTGAATTTTAAGACTGATACATGGTTTAAACTTTGTTTGTTACATCGAACTATGCAAGTAAGAATAAACACAATGCCAGCTGAGAAACATGACTGAGTTCCCTCTCTGATTATATCTTAGGACTTGTCTAAGTGTTGATGTTTCCTGTTGGGACTTCGGGTCAGTTTGACTCTGTACTCTCTCGTGAAATAGGTTCAGGAGTCTTGGCTTGTTTTTAGCAAATAGCAACCTGCAGAGCGAAGATACAAATCTTGTCTTGGCCAGTTTGATTTGTGGGTTTTGAGCATCCAGGCTTAAGTGATGCTTAATTCACACTCATGGGACTGGATCTCCTCTTTTTGCCTTTTACTGTTCACCCTCTCTTCCTAGGAATTTTAATATTATTTATTTTTTGAGTTCAATCTATCTTGATTTTTGTCAACTCTAAGAAAGTTTCATCATGCAGTTTGGGTGGATTTTTTTTTGTTGTTGTTGTTTTTGCTTTTATTTTAGTGGTGGCAGTGGCCCTCACTGACCTTGCATCTTATTTTGCATTTGGCGTCATTTTAAAGGCAGGAGAGTGGCCAACCAACACAGTTTCTTTCCCCTACTAGTATTATTATTTCCCAGCAATACCTCAGCAAGCACCTCAGAAGAAGCAGGCAGAGAGATCCAGGGCTCTGGGTAATTCTCAACCAAAGTGAGGTTTAATCAGAAACTCAACAAGCTACAGGTATTCACATGACCTCAGCAAGCTTGATATAAAAAAGAATTATGAAAAAATAAGAGTCCTGAGATACCAAAACCACTGTAAGATCCAAGATCCTGTTTGATGAGAAATCCAAATTTGGAAAATTTGAGAAATGAAGAGTCTGATTGCACAAAGGCCCTGCAGGAAACCGAGCCTGAAGTGGGAAATCTCCTTAGAGTCGCTTCTCAGCCTTGAGCCCATGAAGGCAAATTTTAAGAAACAGCATCCTAGAGTACATTTACCAAGAAAGTCCAAGTAAGAAAATGCTAAGAAAGACTTCCTATCTCAAAGGCCAAGTTAATCTTTCAGGTTACAGAAGTAAGATACAGGGGCAAAGACACCATCCCCCTCTTTTGTGGTATTTCCCACTATAGCTCAGGCTACGCTTTAAATAACATTCTCCTCCCTCCTGGGCAGTAGCATCACCTGTTCTTGTATCTTCCTTTCCTTGTCTGTCTGGAGCACAGAATCTCAGGGCTACAGT